GTACCGGAGCTCGGGACCATGTAGCGCGTGGCTTACATAATACACCGGTCGCTGGACCCCTTCCGGATCGGTTCGGCACAACACTGCGCTTACTGCACGATCGGACACGGCGAGGTACACGTCTAGCTCTTCTCCGAGCTCGGGCTTTGAGAGCACGATTGGTGACATGAGATACTCCTTCAGCTCGTCAAAAGCCGCTCGGCATTCTTCGTCCCAGACGAATCCATTAACCTTCCGCAATACCTTAAAGAAAGGTAAAGCGCGCTCGGCTAGCTTGGAGAGGAACCGGCTGAGGGCTGCCAACCGACCGGTCAATTGCTGGACTTCCCGAACGGTGGAAGGTGGCTGCATGTCCAGAATCGCTTTTACTTTGGCCGGGTTAGGCTCGATTCCTCTCTTAGTCATCATATAGCCGAGGAATTTGCCGGTCTGAACCGCGAATGTACACTTGGTCGGGTTCAGCCGCAACTGGTACTTCCTCATGATCTGGAAGCACTCCCGAAGGTCCCGAGTGTGGTCGGATCGGTCCCGACTCTTGACCAACATATCGTCGATGTAAGCTTCCATCGTTCGGCCCAGCAGATCAGCAAAGAGCATGTTGACCATTCTCTGATAGGTCGCTCCCGCGTTTCGGAGGCCGAACGGCATCACTCGGTAGCAATACAGCCCGTCCGGGGTTACGAAGGCTGTCTTGCTCTCGTCTTCATGGTGCATCATGATTTGGTGATATCCCTTGAAGGCATCCATGAAGCTCATCAGCTCGGCCCCGGCCGTCTCGTCGACCATTTGGTGAATGCTCGGTAGAGGATAAGGGTCGAGCGGACAGGCCTTGTTGAGGTCGGTGAAATCAATGCACATCCTCCAAGCTGGGGGCTTCGGAACAAGGACAATATTCGCCACCCATTCGGGATAGATCACCGGACGGATGTGCTCGATCGCCGCCATCTTTTTGACCTCTTCTCTGACAAATTCGTGGCGATCGGAGGAAAGGTGTCGTGTTTTCTGCACGACCGGCTTGGCTGCGGGATCGACGGCTAACTTGTGACAGATGACCGACCGATCGATCCTGGGCATATCTTCAGGCCCCCATGCAAAGATATCAGCATACTCCCGGAGCACGGTCAGAACTTCCGCTCGGATCTCGGGGGTGAGGGCTCGGCCAATCTTGATCTTCCTATCCGGGCGATCCTCGGATAGGGGAACTTCTTCTATTTCCTCGGAGGGCTCAGGCTGCTCCTTCCGTTCCTTAGCCTCCTCTTTGGCTATGGTGTTCACCCGGGAAGATGGACCGGAATCACGTCGATTAACCGCTCGGGTGTAACACTTCCGGGCGGATTGGACATCGCCACGGACCACGCCGACCCCGTTAGGGGTGGGGAATTTCATGCACAGGTGGGGCATAGAAATTATCCCACCGATCTTCATAATGGCGGGTCGGCCCAAGATAATGTTGTGGACGCAATGGAGGTTGACCACAACAAATTCCAGCTCCGTTTGGATCGACTTTGGAGGCGTGCCGATCTCGACCGGGAGCGTTATTTTTCCCTCGGGGTAGATAAGAGCCCCGGTAAATCCTGACAGTGGTACACGACCGGAGTCAGCTCCTTCCTGTCGAGGCCAAGCTTCTCAAACACGTCCAAGTATAGGACGTTCACACTGCTGCCCGTGTCAACCATAACCCTTTGGACGTCCGTCCCCTTAACGTCGATCGTGACCACGAGCGCCTCCATGCCGTGGTCGCTGCTGCTAGGTTGGTCCTCAAGGGTGAAGGTTATGGGTTCCATCTTCTGCCTCTTCCCGGTCTCCCGGGAATCCACTACTGCGACCGGGCAATTAGTCCGCGGTCGGGAAGCATCTTCCAGCCCACCAAAAATGACGTGGATGGTAGGTTTTCCGGACGGGCGGCTACCGGACGGAGGGTCGGGGTCCCGTCGGTCATCATGACGATCATCCCTTCTGTCTTGCCCAGATCGATCAGAGCGGTGTTGAGAACGTCTATGATCCCTCCGATCGGTGTTCCTTTTGTTTTCCTCTCTCTTCCCCACACACTTGTCCAATTTCCCTCTGTTCAGTAGATCTTCCAACAATTGGCGCAAGTGGGTACACTCCTCGGTGTCATGCCCGGCACATCGATGGTAAGCACAGTGCTTACTCTTGTCAGGGCCGTCTCGATCGGGATGGGGAAGTTTGATGAGATTACAGGACTGGGCATATTGCATGGCCTCCGCTGCGGATCGATTCAAGGCCGTAAACTCGCCATGCCTGGTGCGGGGTCGGGGATTGTCATCTCCCGATCGATGTTCCGCCCGGCCGGCCGGTTTACGAGACGAAGAGCCGACCTCCTGCGAGCGCTTGACGGCATTCGCCTCACCTGCGTTGGCGTAATCAGTGACCCTTCGGAGGGCCTCCTCATACGAGGTCGGGGGGTGAAGGATGAAATCCTGATATAGATGCCCCGCCCGGAGAGAAATATGAAGCATGTGGGTGGCGGTCGCGTCGTCCATAGGCTCGACCTCCCCGACCGCCACTTTCCATTTGATGAGGAAATCGGTCAAGCTTTCCCCTTCCAGCTGCTTGGCCTTCTCGAGATACATGTAGGACTTCCTCACCACTTTGGAAGTGATGAACTTCCTCACAAATTTGATCGCCAGGGTCTCAAATTTATCGATCGACCCCGGTGGCAGGGTACGGAACCACTCTGCTGCCCGACCGGTGAGGGTCGAGTAAAAGGCTCTGCACATCACGGCGTCTGAAACGCCCTTCAGCATCATATTGCTGAAAAAATCATTCACGTGAGCCTCAGGATCTGTCCGACCGTCGTAACTCTTCTCTCCCGAGACCTTTAAGTCGAGCGGGTAAGGCTGAGCCATTACCGCTGCTGTGAAAGGCGTCTGGTGTAGGATCGATCGGTCGGCCGGGGGTGCTGTAGGATACGCACTCCTGAGCTGCGCAACTTCAGCCTGGAGGTTGTAGAGCAATCCTCGGGTTTCGTTGAGCTCGGCGGCTTGAGCGGCTTGGGCTGTATCCCGAGCGCGTCGCCGTCGGTGAGATCTCGACCCGCTATACCCGGATGAAGCCTCGTGGCTAGCTTCTTGCATTTGTACGTCCTCTTGCCCGCGATTCGGGTCTTGGGGTCCCAAACGCTGGCGCATCTCTGGTCGGAGACGATCAAAAGCTACCGCTCGGGCAACTTCTTCAGGGTCCTCCGCTTGAACGGCCTGAGCTGGTGCCTCCATCGCATCAGCACCCCCCGACCCCAACCGCGAATGAGCCGAGCGTCGAGCCCGGGATGTGGACTGACGCTGCGGCTCTACTTGTGCGGTCGGTTGTACTGGAGGGGCGGCGGCTGGAGCTGTATAGGCAGGCGTATATGGTGGATAACCAACCGGGGAAGTGTAGCACATCGGTTGTCCTGGCCAATACCCATATGGTGGAGGTGGGACCGGGTACGGATACTGGGCGGGATACATCATGGGCTGCTGCTGGTATGGCAGACCGGGTGTTGGGTATCCTGGTTGTATGTAATTCACCGGCTGCTGGGCGGCCGGGTACGTATTTGACGGATGCGGTGGTGAGAGGTTGAGGTTGAGGTCCATCGTCTGACCCTGCTGTTGGGTAGCGTAGTGGTCGGAGGAGCTCGCCGCGTCCGCCTGGTCGTCGGCAAAGTTGTTGTGTGCCCACGGATACATGTTGGTATAGAGACCGGGTGCTCGTCAAGACGTTGGTTTCTCGTACGATTCCCCACAGACGGCGCCAAAATGATGCTGCTAATTCTACGTAAGCAATATATAACAACACGAGACCAATTAAAGCGAGTAAATATCTTTATTGATCCCGGTAAAGGCCCTAAGTACAATCTACTTGGTTGCTCTGAGTACCGACTGACTGCGGTCGGGATTCTCTAACAACAACCTATCGATCGTCCAAAAGTCCTCTACACTGTAGCTACTGTGGGTATTTATAGCCGCCGTGCCGGGGACAAGATTCCGGCCGCTCGGCATGTCTTCCACGTAGCCACCACGTGTCAACCTCCCGGGTGCCCTGCTTGTCAGCATAAAGAACCGCCACGCGTCCCTTCGCGTCCTTTTTGGCAGCTCTTTCGTCCAAGGGCTACCGCTCGGTGGTCGACACCAGCGTTCGGGCAACTTCCGGCCATTCCCGACCGGGGTCTCCACGGAAAAAGCCCGACCTGCCACCTGTAAAGATCAGAAGAGAAAGACAAAGGCAAGTCGGTCGTGGTGGAGCTTATGTCGGTCGGGATATTCCCTACCAACACACTTTTTTTGTTAGGTGGTTCAATTACACAAACTGTAAAAGTTTGATGACTTATTTGATCTTATTTCTTAAAAAAAATAATAATTAATTTTACTTATCTAATAGCATGGGGATTGATTAATATACCTTAGAAGTAAAAAAACTAAAAATATTAATTTTTCAAAAAATAAGACTGGCCAAAAATGATACTAATAAAATTTGTTGGTGAGTGGGTGGGGACTTGGATCTTCCGTGTGTGTAAGAGTATCCACACCAATAAAGAATGCCAAGATATTTCAGATTGAATTCTCTCAAATTGAAAAGCAAAGTTGATGTAGAAGTGAAAGATTTGGAAAAGAATTGGCAGCAACATACAAAATAATGTTAGAAAAGTTAAAAAAAAAAAAAAAGGAGGAAACGCGCGCACAGACATACACTTTTTTTTTTTTTTTTAAATTTAAAAAATTCAATTTTGATTTTTTGTTTTCTTTTTTCTCCTTCTCCCACATTCTCTTTCCTAATAACTCTTACATTTTCCCTACATTCTTTCCAATTGATAATGATGCTCTAAAGCAATGTGCAATGTTATTTTTGTAGGTCCATGTATATTTATGTTTCGTGGGTGGGGACTTGGATCTTTGGGGTATTTTAGGGGTTGGGAGCTGTGTAGGATAAGCATCTTTGGTTGAACTTTGAAGTTTCAAGTGTTTGATGATTGGCACAGCAGGAGAGTGATGGACCATTGCCATTAATTATTGGGTTTTGGAAGTAACGATCCCTAGTCTCAAAATTTTGTCCTTCAACTCTCGGTTCACAAATTAAGGATTGGTGTCTTTTTTTCTTTCCCCAATTTTCTTTCGAGGTGCGAATTTTTTTACTCTTTTGCGAATTTTTCAAGGTGAAAACACCGTGAAAAAGAAAGCATTTTTTTTTTTTTTTTTTTTTTAAATGCAGTAAAGACCAAGGTTCCCGGGGTCCCTTCTGATTTTGGTGGAGAGGGCAGCTCCAGACTTGAGGGCGACCAAGAACTATGTTCTCTGCTTCTTATTTCTTCACTCTTTTGCTCTTATACTCTTCGACTTCCAGGGTTGGTGGAAGTCACCACATTGAACAAGACCATGCGAAGCAGATTTTGAGCTCAGCCAGAGATTACAAAGATTGGTTAGTCTCGATCAGGAGGAAAATCCATGAGAACCCAGAGCTCAGATTCGAAGAACACAACACCAGCGCTCTGATTCGCAGTGAACTGGATAAACTCGGCATTTCTTACGAATACCCTTTAGCCAAGACCGGTTTGGTAGCTCAAATTGGCTCCGGTTCTCCCCCTGTTGTTGCTCTTCGAGCTGACATGGATGCCCTCCCATTGCAGGTAAATGTCCATTTCACTTGTAAACTCAGAAATTGTATGCCTTGTGCAATTCTTGACTGTGTATAAAGACTGTGCTGGTTGGCTGGTAATTTATGGTTTTGGGTTAATTACAATGTGGAAAATTGATAGTTTTGTTAGGAATTTAGGATCAAGTGCCCCCTCTTTACCGGTCTCCGTCGACAATCTCCCTCCCAGCACCTGCCCATCTTAACTGCTCGATTTGAACCCGTGACCTCCTAACACCGGCCAGTTTAAAACTGCTTAGTGACCTGGCTCTTATACCACTTATTAAGATCAAGCACTTAATACTACGTCAAAAGCTATAGCTAGTAGCGAAGGTGTAACTTTATATTTATTTACCGCCACACATTTTTGTAAGCCAGGTGCTGGACTTGGTCCTCTATTGGCCTCCGCCCAACAATCTTCCTAGCCACATAGTGCTGGACACCCTTACTGGCCCCGCCCAACAAGTATCAGCTAAGGAATATTGTATAGTTGTTTTTTTTTTTTGAAAAAGAATATTGTATAGTTGTATTTGCATAAAATTGTCTATGTATTTGCTGATGCCTATCTAATAGAATGTTGTGATTTGTAAATATATTATATATACAAGTAGGAGCTGGTTGAGTGGGAGCATAAGAGCAAAGTGGATGGCAAAATGCATGGGTGTGGTCATGATGCCCACACCACAATGCTTCTTGGAGCTGCTAAGCTATTGAATGAACGAAAGCATGAGCTTAAGGTGAGTTTAGTGTGCATGGCAACTAACTCTTCATATCTGAACTGTTCCACTTCTTTGGTACTCACTACTCAGTATTTTTATTCTTTTAATTTTGGTTGTGAGTGGATGGAATTGTCTGAAATGGATAAAAGTTACATGGTGCTTTTAATTTTTGTGAAAGAAAGGAAACAGAAGTTTATAAAATCTTCTTTTTCTTTTTCAACATATTATAGAGTTAGAGTTTAATTTTCATTTTTGGTTAGTTGCATTTGCCTAAAATGATCAAAAAGGGGATGGGATATAATGTTGAAAAACCGGAATTCCTGTGTGATTATTCATCTTGTTCAATCTAGACCAAGAGAGATAAGAGCAAAAATATTATCTTCATTTTATGTTTTAACTTATTCTGCTGCAAATGCAATATGATATCTTACTTGCCTTTATTCTCCTTGATGATAGTGATTACAATGGCTTATAATTGTAGGTAGTATTACATAGTCACAGGACAACAATAAAGAAGAAAAGAGTATCCTATTTGTTAGGATCAAGTGCTAACCACTAACGTCAAATGCTGACCTGACTTAGATACCACTTGTTAGAATCAAGTGCTAACCATTATGCCAAAAGCTATAGCTTACAGCGATGTCGCAACTTTATTTCCTTGTATACCGCCACATTTTCGAGAGACAGGATGCTGGACTTGGCCCTTCAGCAGCCTCGGCCCAACACTATTATTATTGATAACTTGAAAACTTCAAAATTCAAATTGTTAGTGATTTTAACATTTTGTTATCTATTGTTGTTGAGTTATTTTGGTGGAAGAGTGATCTGTCTGTGTATTTGCCTCTAAAGTGAACATAAACATTAACTTGCTAGATGTATTGTCATCATTCTTTTTGATCTTAAAGGGAACCGTGAGACTTATTTTCCAACCTGCTGAGGAGGGAGGTGCCGGTGCATCTCACATGATTAAGGATGGTGCTCTTGGTAATGCTGAAGCAATATTTGGAATGCATGTTGATTATACGATACCAACGGGAACTATATCTAGCATTCCAGGACCATTTTTAGCTGCTGTATCTATCTTTGAAGCGAAAATAGAAGGAAAAGGTGGGCATGCTGCCGCACCCCACTTGACTGTGGATCCAATACTTGCAACATCATTTGCAGTTTTGGCATTGCAACAGCTCGTTTCAAGAGAAGCAGATCCACTCTATAGTCAAGTATGTTCCTTACTCTAGGTTTTTGGGCTTCTTTTTTTTTTTTTTCAATTTTATTTTGGAAAAATTTACAATTCTGATATTTGTCAGTGTATATATATTTTGGAGAAGTTTTTTCGACTTTGGGTTGAAACTGACACACGATAATCCTTGTTTTTGGCTGAAGGTTCTTTCGGTTACTTACGTTAGAGGTGGCACAGCATCAAATGTAATCCCGTCGTTTATTGAATTTGGAGGGACTTTGAGGAGTATTACCACCGATGGTTTGCTTCAACTTCAGAAGAGGGTGAAAGAGGTAGTCAAGTAGTAGTAGTGTCTTCATTTTCACAATCTAGATAGTGTGTTGAACCCTGGCCCTATACTTCGGTTTCATGATTAGTTAGTGTTGGGTGGAGGCTGGTAAGGGCCAAATCTAGCACCATGTGGCTAGGAGGATTGTGTGGCGGTATAAGAAAATAAAGTGGCGCCTTTGCTACAGCTTTTGGTATAGTGGTAAGCGCTTGATTCTAACAAGTGGTATCAGAGCTCAGTCACGGAGTCACGGGTTCAAGTAGGGCCAAGTCCAGCACCTTGGCGGTTTGGCGTAGTGTAACACGCCATGTGAACTTTTCCTTGGCTAGTATGATTCACTTTCAAAAGAATGTAGGAATATATTACTTTTTTTTAGTTTTCTTAAAGATAGCTAATATTGCTTGTTTCCCTTGCTCAATATATATACTCTCTTTTGTCCGTTCATCATTTCATTTCACTCGAGTCGAAGCTTTGCAGGTTATAGAAGGACAAGCGGCTGTACATAGGTGTAAGGCGCATATCAAGATGAAAGACGAGGACTTCCCAATGTATCCAGCCTGCACTAATGATGAGAGGTTGCATCGACATGTGCAGAAGGTGGGGAAGCTCTTGCTAGGCCCCGAGAATATAAATGAGGCCGAACAGGTAATGGCAGGCGAGGACTTTGCGTTCTATCAAGAGGTAATACCAGGAGCGATATTTAACATAGGAATTAGAAATGAGAGAGTAGGATCAATTCACTCCGTACATTCCCCTCACTTCTTTCTTGATGAGGATGTCCTGCCAATTGGAGCAGCACTGCACACTGCACTTGCACAGAATTATCTGAATCATCATCAACTATAGGCTGTTTACCAGAAGATATTGCATGGTCTGATATGATGTATGTGCAGTGGTAGTAACTAGATATGAGAGTGTTCAAAGATGTGCATTGTATATTATTTGCTTTTATGGGAGTTTGCTCTTTTAGCCCCTCCCATTCACTACATTAATTATTAATTAATGGTTTATAATTATTAATTATGGGATTAATAGTGTAATTTTTACTTGGCCGGAATTATTATTGTCCACACAGCTGTGTGAATCATAAATAAAAAGTACATTATTTGTGTATATAAAATACATTATTTGAGTACTGAAAGTACATTATTTTCTATATTATCAAAATAATGTATATTCAGTACACAAATAATGTACTTTTAGTATATTAAAAATGTACCTTGTATTTACGGAAAATACATTATTTTGTATAATGTACATTTAGTACACAAATAATGTACTTTTAGTATAGAAATAATACCCAAAATGGTTCATTGACTATAGCGAAATTCACATTTTGGGTATTTGCCAGTGTTTGGCTCTGAAGAAAGGAAATGCATAAATGGATTCTGGTTCTTTATTGAAATATCATGCTGCATTATAGTTTTGGTTATGAGATGAGCATAAGATTTGTGACACCAAACAATCAAGCTTTTCACAGGGATATTGGATATGTAGTTGGGTACAAATTAGTTCTTTAGGAAAAGTAGAGGATATGTAGTTGGGTACAAAAGTTAAGGAAAAGTTGAACGGCCAGCCAGATAGATTGTGTGGTTCATGAATAAGTCGTTATGTGATGGGGTTTTTGCAAACCAGGAATAGAATAGCTTAATATCTGGTTGTAGGGATTACTTATCCAACAAAGTTTAAGTTGGTTGCTAATGGGGCAAGGGTCATGGCCCAAGAGGGGTTGAAAGAGGCAATTTATATCCTACACCACGGCGCGCGTTGCACTATGTGCCCAGATGCAAAACGACGTCGTTTTAATTATTATTATTTTTTTTTTTTTTTGAAATTTCCCGCCCCAGTGAATGGCAGTAGTTTTTTCTTTAAAAAAAATCCGCTGTTCAAGAATGTACATAATGTTATACTAGAATACACATAATGTTATACATGAATGTACATAATTATATAACAAAATATACATACTCTTTTTAAAAAGATAATACACATAATCTAACATAATACATAATAAACATAAACTTTTAACATAATACACATCAACTCTTAACATAATACACACAAATTTTCTGATTCGGATGTACATAATTGTATAAAAAGAATGTACATATAATTGTATAAAAAAATACACATAACTGTATGAACCAATACACATAACGTTGTGAACAAATACACATAACGTTATGAACAAATACACATAATCTCAGCAACTTCCTACCGCGCCTCCCAACACTACCCCAAAACGACGTCGTTTTGGGAGGCGCGCGGCGCACAGTGCTATGTGCGCCGTGGTGTAGGATATAACGATTGGTTGAAAGAGAACTATGAATTTGGGTTAGTGGGGGTCCAATAAGGCAATGGAAGATGGGCTTTTTATGTAAATAGGCTAAAGAGTAAAGATGCATTTAGTAGAATGGTATGGAACAAAATTTGGGAAAACACCAAGGAGAGGGAAGGTGATATGCTCGGTCCCCCACCCCAAGCCCCGGTCTAATCATGACTCATGAGTGGTGGACGACGATTGGCATCAGCCTATCGCGAACCACTTTGGGTTGAGGTGCTTATAATGGCTCCTCACTTGGCCGACCAGCCCATCCACAACCTTTTGGCGAGTCGTCCGAACATGTATGAGTGAGTGGGCCGAACGGGGCGAGTGGTTAGACAAGGTCCTTGAGCTTGCCTCACAATGTGTCGTGTGAAGGGTGGTTTGGCGAGAGATCTTTTCTCACGACTTACGACCGGCCGAGTGGGTCTGGTCGCTGGGGAACATGTATGAGTGAGTGGGCCGAATGAGGCAAGTGGTTAGCCAAGCTCCTTGAGCTTGCCTCACAATGTGTCGTGTGAAGGGTGGTCAAGAGGAAGGGTGGGACCGCTTCACCATTAACTGAACATCCTTGTCAGATGGCAGCAGGGAAGCAGACAAAGGTGTGTAAAAATGGTCAATAACAATTTAATGGTCTCGACGGGGCTTGAACCCGCGACCTTCGGCTCATAAGACCAATGCTCTAACCAACTGAGCTACGAGACCTATATAAAAAAAAGGGTGGGACGGTGATATAACCCAAGTAGATTAACCAACTGAGCTACGAGACCTATATAAAGAAGAGGGTGGGACGGTGATATGACCCAAGTAGATTATGGAAGTAGACAAAGGTGTTTAAAATGGTTGTTTGCTTCACCACCAATTATGGAAGTAGACAAAGGTGTTTAAAATGGTTATTTGCTTCACCACCAATTGAACATCCTTTTCTCATAGCAGGGGAGTAGACAAAGGTGTGTAATGATGGTCAATAACAATTCAATGGTCGCGGCGAGGCTTGAACCTGCGACCTTCAGCTCATAAGACCAATGTTATAACCAACTGAGCTACGAAACCTATATAAATAGGAGGGTGGGACGGTGATATGACCCAAGTAGATTATTGAAGTAGACAAAGGTGTGTAAAAAGGTTGTTTGCTTCACCCCCAACTGAACATCCTTGTCTCATGGCGGGAAAGTAACCCAAGTAGATTATGGAAGTAGACAAAGGTGTGTAAAAAGGTTGTTTCACCACGAATATCCTAGTCGCATGGCGGGAAAGTAGACAAAGGTGTGTAAAAATAATCAATAACAAGTCAATGGTCCCAACAAGGGTTGAACCCACAACCTTCGACTCATAAGACCAATGCTCTAACTAACTAAGCTATAAGACCTATGTTGTTAAAATCAGATAAAAGCATATAACCTTGCATAATTATATTTCACTTTGTGTCCCAAGTAGATCATGGAACAAATAAGATTATCGAGGAACGTTCTAAATTCAATGGTACAAAGTAAATTACCTGTAGTTGCACGAATCACCCTACGGGTTTCCGTTGCGATCCGTGGCAACTTCGAGAATTCACGAGCAATCTCTTGATTCCCTTCCTTGCCTTCCCCAAACAAATGCTCTACAAGAAAACACAGTAAGTTTTACACTTTTACTAGCCTTCCATTTCTTCAGCTCCCTGTTTTCTATCTCTGAGACTTTAGTCTTAAGAGTTGTTCTGTGGTTTGTTTGAGGTGTCTAGGAGGTGAAGGAGGTGTCTAGCTTGGGAAGAAGGAGGAATCCCAACAAGAAGGAGAACAAGAAGAGGTATAACCCCATGGACTCCCAACTTAATTTTGGCTCTGTGAAGCCACTGTGAAATCGCTAGAAATGAGTGGAAATGCTAGAATGCTGTGTGTTTGAGCTATTGGATGTCTTGTTGATGTTGTATGATGTGTTGTTGATGATTTGGAGGTCGAATATTGTTTGGTTTTGCTTTGCAGATGAAGAAGGAGCCACTGGTGCACCTCTTAGTGTGCACCAGTGGAAGTCACAGGCCTAGCCAACGGCCCACGAGGGGAGCCGTTGGCTAGAGCCGGGGCTCAACGGCCCTAGGGCACGACCCTAGGCAAGGGCCGTGGCCCTAGGCCGCCGCCGGGGCTCCTCTAGCCCCGCCGCAAGCCCCGTAGGTGTTGTTCTGTGCAGTGGTCGGGCCCTTGTGGCTCAGCTACGTGTCGTTTCGGACCGGGTGTCACGGGCTCTTGTGGCTCGGTACCTTGGGGCCGTCATGACACACGTTTGGACTTCGATTTCGTTGAGTTTGGATTAGAAATGAGCATTTTGTGTTAGATTTTGTGAAGCATTTGTGTTACAGTAATGTTATTTGAGAAACATCAGACTTGATTTTCTTATGTGATCTGTAAGGTACTATTTGATTGATTAAATTGATAAGCATGATCACTAATTGCTTAGGTTTTGTTAGAAGAGCATGCCTAAAGTGTATTTTATGAATCATGGAGACTTTAGTCAGATTTAAATTGATGAAGTGTTCAAAGCACGTTATTTTGAATTCCAAGCATGATTAAGTGTTCTTTGAGAAATTCACAATAATATAGAATTGAAGTATGTTGTACAGTAAATTGCATTTCAGCATGTCATGTTTTAAAAGTGCATAAGTGGCCAACGTGAGCCTAAGTATTATTTTCCAAAACTCATGAGCATGTGGAAAGCCTTTTTCTTGTTTCATTGAGAATTTGTTGAGAAGTGACATGCATAAGTGTGCATAAGTAGAAGTGTTGCCTGAGATATATATGCTATCTATATAAGTGAGGTTTTGGAGGACCCCTTGGGACTATGTCCTTTCGGAGTAAAAGAGAAAGTAACGGATATTGAGATCCGATATTTTGTAACGCGTCGTATTCCCACGTTACGAGGTTGGAGACTGCCCGCCAGGCTTAGAATCCTGGTTAGGGGGTGTGCACACTAAATAAACGATACCTAATTCCACAGAGTTTGAGCTTAGAACCAAGATAGTGGTTCTGTGGGCGAGTTGAGTATGTGGCCGGCTAGATTGCCGAGCCGGTTAGGTCCATTCACGATTCGTGAAGACCTACCTCCACACGAGTTAGAGGTTCCGTAGTTACGGATGTGGCGGATGCACGAGATTGCACCGTACGCTAGGGATTCACTGCAGCGGAGTACTTGCCTCGCACAAGAAGAGAAACGAGAAGTATGAGAAAGTTGAGCAAGAAAGAAATCGAGTCAAGAGACTCAAGAGAAATAAAGTGAGTCATTGTGACTCTAAGAAACCTCCACAGAGAAGTATTCTATTTACAAACGAGTGTTTAAGTATACTTATCCTATAGCATCTTATTGCATTCGAGTATAGTATTGCACGAGATTGCATAATGAGAATGTTTGCACGAGATTGCATATTAAGAATGTTTTCACTAGATTGTATATTGAGTATGATTGCCTTAGTTGCATATTGAAGTTGATATCTCTTAATTGCATGTTGAGAACTTGATTGCATGAGATTGTTATGGAGTTGTTCTATAGAGTTGAGTTTTGCTATGTTGATTATGTGTTAGTTTGATTATGTTGATAAGTTGTTTATTGATGAAGCATGCCTGTGGATATTATAGGTTGCGAGTATATAGAAAGCTTATAGTTTATCTTAAAGTTTATCTA